TGAGGGTATGTCTACACAGCAGTGTTATTTCGGAATAATGGATTCTTTTTTGAGACTACTGAGTCACCTAAACTAATTCTTGTATTTTTATTAACTAAGGGATCTAGAGTACTAGGTAGATTCATCTAATCATTCTTAATAGGTAAATAAACCACTTGACCATTGGGATACCAAAAGTCATAAAGAAATCTATGGAATTTAGTTTTCAACTGGAGCCACAAATACCATCTTTTAGTGGAAAAATGGTGACTGGGAGAGAAACTATTGGTGGAGCTTTGTGATATAGAAAGAATTTAGTCTCAACTAGTTTGTTGCCACCAGAGGTAAAAAGTGCTGTGCAGGGTGCTCATTTTCATGATTCAAGAAGAAATGTATAAAATTCCAGCTGAAGACCCACTATTAGAATTGGGAGCAGGGGTGCAAGAGAGACTTACTCCCCAGGAGTGCAACATAAGCATCTGGAGGGACAAACTAATTGCTACTCCCTTCCATGTCTGTGTGTACACTAGCCTTTTTTCTCTAAAATATCCCACCATTGTTGTTGGTCTTAACATCAATGGTGGCAGTGAGGAAAGGGCTACTTAAGACGAGGCTGTATTTATGACCATTTTAAGCACTTTAACACCTAACTTCACTCAGAGAAGGTCTACACTATGGATTCTCAAATTGGGACCTACACGTAGTCTACTGGAAACAGATGTCCTGGGTCATGACCACCCTGCCCTTGCCATGTTACTAACAAGAAAAGGATCTGTGTGAAGAAACTCACTCAGATCCCAACAGATATAATCTTCCTTTCCAAGTGCAAATAGATGAACATACCTAAGCGACTGCGGGTGAAAACTCCACTGCAATCTACGTTCCAACAAGAAGAGGGTTAGTAACCCTGGGAAGGAATGATGGAAGGTCCCAGCATGGAACAAGTTGATAATCACTATTTCATGCTAAGGATCTGAATAGTTAACCATTTAACTGGTTAATCAATAAGCATCACCCTCATCAGGTGATGCTTACCGTTTATGGTTAGCCAGTGGGCTAAAGCAGTCCTCCTGCCCATTTTGGGCCTGGCTAGGTGGGAGCAGCCCCCGCCCATGACGCACTAGCTGGGCCGAGTTAAAGCAGCCCCCTTGCCTGCCCCCATTTAATTTGTTAATTTGTTAAACTTAATGTTTAACTGATTAACTGATTAACCAGGATTTTACATCCCTAGTTCGTGCAACATGGCACTTACCATTAACTACCAATATTTCCTCTTCTATAGCATTGTTGCCATTGTTACCATTAATTAACTAAGCTGGTGGTAGCCACATTGAGAGATTTTAAGAAAATAATTCTTAAATGGCCAGTGAGAGCGTATTTCTAAATTGAAACATTTCCTTCTGGTAGCAGAATTTAGAAGTGACAGAAAGAATTACCCTGCAGTTAGAATAAGTCCCAGTTCAGGTTGAGGACCTTTAAATGTGAACATGAAAAAGGAATAAGCAGTTGAAATAATACATGCCCTCAAACTCTCTCGGTGGGATGATTCTTGTGTATTGACATCCATTGGATGTGATTTACCTTAGGAAATCAGATGTGTCCCTTGATGCTTTTGGAAGGTAAGTATAACCCAACCAGTTTAAATTAAAACCCTAATCCACAAACTTCTCTTTGAAAAGGAATCCAATACAAATGTTAAATTCTCTTAGAAAAACAAGTTAGTACTTTTTGAAATGTAAAGCCATAGGGAAACCTGCTCTCTTTTATTGTCATGTTAAACAAGGTTCCTTTTAACAAACCAGCATGTTAGAATAAGCAAATAAATTGTCTTTCCTCATAAATGCTTGTTGGGAACAAATGAGTTAGCTCTCTCTCCTCCTTTTTCTTCTAAGAGGAATGATGCTATCTTTAAAATACTATGCCTCTTTCTTGTGAATTTAATTATTAGTTATTATCAAGAAATAGATGCAGTAAGTCATGGTTCAACAGACTTTGCATGGGATCCAGGAAATCTTGAATTCTGTTCTAGTTCTGAACTTCTGGTTCCTCCACTGGCCTGTTCTGGGCAGACCCACATTTTAAGAAGTGACTAATGATTTGGAAGCCAGCAGAGTATCCATCCAGAGACACTGCTAAAGAGAACTGGTTTTCAGAAGGCAGATGCTCAGCACTTTCTGAAAATCAGACCTCTTTGAAGTGTCACAAGTTTAGCAGACAAAAACTTATATTTCCCTAAATCTCTAATCACTTTTTATGTTTCATGTATTATCCTCTCTGCCTCTGTTTCTGTCTGTGAAACAGAGAACAATACCTTCTTCACATGAATGTTCTTTGGCTTGACCAGTTGATTTTTAAGGTACTATGTGAATTATATTATTTTTGTGGGGACAACCACATCTTTCTAATACTATAAAGATAGTGGGGTAGGGGATAGATACTGAAAAACAAATCTGAGTTGTAGTTGAAATATACTCCAAATTTCCAAGCTTGCCTCCTGTCTTGGCTGACATTTCAGTCCTCGAGAGATCAAGGGATTTCCCTTAATTGGAACTGACATTATTATTTTTACTATAATTTATTAGCTATTGAATGGCACCATTGTGCTGGTTGCTGTGCAGAGATGTAATCCCTGACCTACAGATATGATCTCATGTAACAGGCTAGAGTTTGGGAGCCTAAATACTTTACAGTGACAAATGCCTTCCCAAAGGACAGGGAGAGATTTCAGTTGCGACGGGCAGAAAGGTTTGTGGCCGTCGTTGTTAAAGAAGTGCAACCCAAGAGACACAGTTTTTAAAAAATCATTCCGCTCTGGCTCCTCAGCCTCGTGCGCTTTAAGCCAGAATCCTGATAAATGGAAAGCCCAATCAAAGGTTGAGCGGTGCATATGGGAAGCAAGAAGAGGGCTGCTGTTATTGTAGCCGACTAATTAGCATGTCCCCTAAATTTCCCCCCGCTGGCACGCCAGCCTGGGCGCGGCGGGATGCTTCCTCGGAGGGTCTAGCCGGCAGCGCGGAGCGGGAGGCGGAGGAGGGATGGCTGGGTGACCTGGCTTTGCCCGACGCATCCAGACCCTAGCGAGAACGGCTCGGGCTGGTGAGCATGTGCGCGTGCCGACTGCCCCGGGTGCCGGACAGTGCCCAGGGCAGGAGCAACGTTGCAGGGCGGCACTTCTCCCTTCCTCGGTGGGGAAGGCGGGATCTGCTGCTCCCTGGGGTTTGGGAAAAGGCGTAAACCCCCCACCCCCACCCCGCGGCCGGCAGTGAGTCCGACCGACCCTTTCTGTCCCTCCCCAGCTGCTGTCCCTCCGCGGAAAACAGCCAGGCAAGAGAGACAACAGCACGACGACGATGGTGATGATAATTAATAATTCAAAGCCCTTAACGGGGCGAAGGGGGAAGGCTGTGAGCAAAGGCTACGCGGGGGGAAGGGGCGAGGTATCTAGGTTGCTGGAAAGGAGCAGAAGGCAGGGAGTGGGTCTTGCTCAGGACACGGTCCCTTCAAGAGAGGCGAAGTAGGGACAAGGTTGTCCTTGGAAACGGGGATCTTAATCACCTCCCCCCGTCTAACGCTTTCCTACCCAGAGCAGCCCAACTTCCCCCCTTCCCCGCCCAGCAGCTCAGCGCGGAAAGCAGCCCCGCCTACACCCTTCTCCCTCCAGTGCCCCGATGCACAGAAGAGCCCCCCATTCCCAGCACCCCAATGCACAGAACTGCCATCCATCTCTAGCATCCCAATGCACAGAGCAGCCTCCATTCCTCCTTGTCCCCAGCACCCCAATGCACAGAGCAGCCCCCCATCCCCAGCACCCCAATGCACAGAGCAGCCTCCATTCCTCCTTGTCCCCAGCACCCCAATGCACAGAACAGCCCCCCATCCCCAGCACCGCAATGCACAGAGCAGCCCCAGCTCCCTAAGGCACAAAACAGACCCCATCTCCAGCATCCCAATGCACAGAACAGCCCCCGTTCCCCCTGCTCCCCAATGCACAGGGCAGCCCTCCAGCACCCAAAACAGAGCAGCTCCGAGCCCCCTAATTTACAGAGCAGCCCTCAGCTCCTCAAGGCATAGAACAGGTTCCCATCCCCAGCACCCAATGCATAGAGCAGCCCCCTTCCCTCAGCCTCGCGCCCCCCAGCGCGCCCAAGCATCCCTCCCTCCCCAGCCGTGTGAATGAAGTTTGCTGCTGCGCTTTGCCCCCTTCCCCGCTAGTTACTGTTGCCGTGTCTCTGCCGCTGCCAGGGCCAGGACAAAGGCACATTAACACGTGATGGGGACGGAGCTTCATAAATGGGACCCGCGAGAAAGAGGGGGGTGCGAGGAGCCGGGCTGGGAGGAGAGGCAGGGACACACACACTCAGCCGGGGCCGGGCACGCAACAGCAGCCGCCGCCGCCG